AATGATTTAATTCAGATTCTCAGTATTTTGTACCTCCAACTCAAAATTGAATATGCAGTCAAAAATTTGATGGAAATCTGAAATGCACAGAACTTGTGAACTTATACCCTAGAAACTGTAACCTAGCTACACACTTTGTGGATGTGTAATAATAGCAGATAGTGCTTTTAACACTACTTTTTTTTTTTTAAGTCCATTGGCCTAGGGGGCCAAGTTATGGTTATTGTGGGAATAATAAATGTTGAAATTAATTTTATTCAGATGCATCTAAATCTCAACTATAACATTGATTTAACATACAACTTTTATATTTAATTCTGTGTATGTACGTTCAAATTAGTAATTTTTAAATAAAATAAACCCAAAACAATTATATCTAGATTTCTATGTTAATGGGGGAATAACATAGCTGGTAAATACAATCATCAAGGTAGCTAACTTTTTCACTTGCACTGAGAAGCAAAGTAGAATGTTCAGGGTTTTTTTTTATAGCTGATGCTGCACTCCAATGGAACACAAACTACTTTGTACTTCTAGTTAATTGGCATTCTTGTTTTGTTAATAGATTATGAAGCAATTGTGAAGCTTTCAGATGGCTTTAATGGAGCGGATTTGAGAAATGTCTGTACTGAAGCAGGTAAGAGGCTCCTCACTTGTATTCATTTGCTCAGTTCTTAATTTTGATGTGCTGAATCTTGCTATAAATGTTAAATATTCATGACTAGTTTCTCTGATCTGTTCTTAGTATAATAGATGAACATGAGGTTCATAAACATTTCATTGTTTTAAATGCATTCATTCTTGAGGGTCGTCTAGCATTTACATTTTTTACATCAGTGGCTGGAAACTTAGGTTAACATAATAGTGAGTTTCACTGGTAAGTTTCAAAGCACTATAAAAATTAATCTCTTGAAACTGGCATTGTGGTCAAATGCACACTGGAAAGGATCTGTACATATGCCCATACACCTTAAAAGTGTGGGGAGAAGTAGTAAGATGAAGTTCCCTGAAACTGGATGAAACATGTCTATCCAACTTGGACAAAAATCTGCTTTTTTAAAATATTTCTTTACGGCTTATACCAGTACAGAAAGTAGTATAGAAAATGAGTTTTTTGGGATCTCTCTCTCTCTCCTATGTGTTCCTGCCTTATTCTTCTTGAGAAAATATTGTCCACTCAGGGCTTGTCTACACTGGGAAGCTAACTGGTGTAGCTGTAATGGAATAATTATACCTCTATAGCTAAGCTGATATAACAGCCCTGTGTGGATGCTTCTTGCCTGAATAAAAGTGACTTTATTCCAGAATAATTACTCTGCTTCCAAACATATCTGAGGTGCATGAAAAGAAATACAAAACTGATTAAAGTTACTCACTGAATCTCCATATGGAATATGTAATTTTTAACTTTGATCCTTTCAATGTTATTTTAATTACGAAGTGATAGACTTTATGGAATGTTTCAGTCCTATATTATTGCTGCGAGTAACACTAACTCTCTGTAAATATCTAGCAATTTCTCAAATTGTTCTTCACAGGTATGTTTGCAATTCGTGCTGATCATGACTTCGTAGTTCAGGAAGACTTCATGAAAGCTGTTAGAAAAGTAGCTGATTCTAAGAAGCTGGAGTCTAAACTGGATTACAAACCTGTTTAAATTAACCAGATAGTTAATGATCGACTGCACAGGAGATATTGGATTAATGTATAGAAGAAGAGAAATAATGTACCTCTTGGCTATGATCTTATTACAAGTGTATGTATAACACCATAAGCAAGTAATTGATGCTAGTTACAAGTCGGCTACAGAAGTGTGTTCTGTACAGTTCTGAAAATGTGGCATTCATTGCAGCCCAAGTTAAGGAGTGAGATGTGTTCTCATAACAATTACTGTGTGAATTTATAAACATACCCAAATGGTTGAACTTAGCAAATTTTAAGAAAGTCAGTGCATTTCCTGGCATTTTATATCATTTTCCTTTAAACAGTTGAATAAAACTTCTTTAAGTCTTTCATATGTACCTCCTCTCTACCTCTTTAGATAAGAGCATTCATTATAGTTCTTTAGGTACTTAAAGTGCTACTTATCTCTGATATTAATGATCATGTTCCATTTAGGCATGTATTTTGATAAACAATCTATACAAAATTCTCTACTGGTAAAACTGGTGTGTCAGATACAATGTACCTAAAACACAAGTTAGGAAATGTAATCTAATGAGCTCTTAATAGTGTGTAACAATTTCATGTTGCCTGTCCATGTGGAAGAGGGTAGGGTACTATTTTTGTTTCAAGATTCCACTGTTGAAACCTGGGGAAGGGATTCAGTTGGAACTAAAACGTAAATGATCATTGCTCAAAATGCATTAACTAAACAAAATATTTGTTATAGCCTGATTTCGGTTAGCACAGTTCTTTTAAAAGGTTCATATATACTTCTCTGAAAGTGCCACATCCTAGATGTTTGTAGGTAACCTACACAGCCAAATAGCATTTTGATTTTTATAAAAACCACTTAACTCAGTGTTTAAAGAATAACAGTATCGGGGCCTCAATCTAGTACTACTAAAACTGTCAAGCAGGTGAGGCTTAATTTATTTTGGTTTAGATACCTTTGTAAAAACAGCTCTCCTCCCACTAGGCGATCCAAGTCACTTTTTAAAATATGTCTCTCACTCCACCTTCCCAGCTGTCATTTCTGTCATATAGCAACTGAGACTATCCTCCATAAACTAGTAAAACTGTATCATCTAAACTACACTGTTTTGGGAGTGGCAGGGAGATGTATGGAATACACAGAGAGGGCTAAGTATTGTTCTGCTGTGGATTGTAACGGTGTAACGGGCCAGAATTTGGCCTGCTGCCTAATACCTCCACATGTACTGGGAACTGTTTACTGCAGCTGCTAATTTGAGTAATCATTCAAGCACCATAAAACAGCTTTAACTCAGAAGCCAAGGAGTGCTTTGTTCACGCAGTTCAGCACATCGCATCAATGTGGATTTTTTTCATTCCACTTTTGATGTGTGTCGGGAAAGGTTTTCCATAGTGCTTGTATTTTACTTCAACTTTTGGGTAAATTTTACAAACATCACAAGAGTGATGCTTCTGTATGTATTAAGACTCCATTTTTTGGCCACTTCTGACTCCCCCAACTCGATTATTCTGTGCCTATCCAACTCCCAAACAAGTTAGATTAAATTTTCTAAAGCCATGCCATTTCAGTTTGCCTTATGTGCCAGTACAGAATGAACTGTAGTACTATCCTTGTTTAAACCACGAAAGAGCTTTTAATAAACTAGTTTAAAATAAAGAACTGAAACTACTGCAATGCACAGGCAACAGTATTTTGATAAGTGGATACAACAAGCTAATGATTATCATTACATATGAAAGAGCATGCATGTTTATCTCAATGTAATAGTAAAACAGGCTTGTACAACATTACCTTGTCTATAGTGTCAGTGGTATAAAATGTCAGTGTCAATTTATTTCCATTATGAAACCACTCTGAATAGGGCCAGATGTCCAATATGCATGGTTAAATGCTGCTGTTACAGAAAGTCTAAATGTATTTAGAAACAATTAGATGAAAGTTTAATAAAATGGAATAGATCTACAGCCATCTTATAATATATACAAATTTGTTACATGAGTTTGGAGATGATGAACGGGATAGGTAGAGAAACTGATTCCTAGATCACTACATTCTAACTAAAACCCTCTTATGCTCAAGCTAAAACATAGCATGTTACAAAGATCCATATATCTCTTGTGCATACAACTGAATGTCTGTCTGCTGTTTTGCTAATACCTAAGTTGTTTTAGTCACTTCACTGTGAGCAAATCCTCCCTTCAGCATTGAGGTCAGTAGACATATTTGGTTCCTGGCTGTGAAGCAGAGCAAATAGGCAAGATTTGTTCAAGTGAGGTGGCAAGAGCAGAATACAGTAGAACCCCATTTATCTGACTCTCCATATTCTGGCTCTCCGCAGTAACCAAACAACCAGGACTCCAGGGCCAAAAGTGGGTGATCTCTCCTGTGGCTGCTAGAAGGTGCTGCAACAACGCACTTTCCCTTTCTCTGGATTTTTGATCTGATCTGGCCCCAGTCCCGATTAGATCCGATAAATGGGGTTCTGCTTTAGTTATTTCCTTTTGAAGGGTAGTGCCTAAGGCTAATATCTTTGCTGCAACTACACACTCACAGCTGGCCTGTGTCAGCTGACTTTGGCTTGTGGGGCTCAGACTGCAGGGCTGTAAAACTGCTATGTAGATGTTTGGGCTGGGGCTGGAGCCCAGGCTCTGGGACCCTCCCCCCTTGTGGGGTCCCAGAGCTTGAGCTCCAGTCTGTGCCCAAATGCCTATATAGCAGTTTTACAACCCTGCAGTCTGAGTCCCACAAGCCTGAGTCAAGTTAGTTGCAATGTAGACATACCCCAAGAGGCCCAGTCATGGACCAGGACTCTCCTGGGCTAGGTGCTGTACATGCAGTGAACAAAGAAACAATTCCTGCCCCAAAGAGTTTACAATCTAAGGAAAAGATGAGAAAATAGGTGGACACAGACAGCTGGGATGGACAAGGAAACATTGAGTCCATGTTGGTCAGCATGATAGGCAGGGATCACAGCCCACCATTTGCCTATTTATTTATTTGTAGGCATAGTAGTAAACGTTTGAAGGAGGACAATGAGATAGCTTTGTGGATATTTACAGGGAGCTCCTCCCACAGATGAGGCAGCACTGGGGAAAGCACAAAGGGGAAAATTTAACGGGTTATTCAGGCTGGTATCATTGGCTGATCAGAGCAGGAGTTGATATCTTTATAGCATATGAAATGACAGGTAGGTAG